ACTACTACTACTACTACTACTACTACTACTACTACTACTACTACTACTACTACGAAAACTACTACTACAACAACAATAACACATTCAACACCAAATATAACATCAGCAGCAATGTCAACAACAATTAACGCTACCAGAAAACGATATCAACAACAACAACGACAACAACGACAACAATTACACATACAACACCAAGTATAACATCAGCAAAAATATTATCAACAACAATTAAAGCTACAAGAAAACGATATCAACAGCACTTTTAGCAACAATATCAACGACAAGATTCCCAAATAACAAAATGAATCAAACTTCTGTTATCTCTTACGTCAGTAGATACCATTGACGACGACGACAGCAAGATAGGTCGGTGTATGTATGAAAATGAAAGCCCTTTTTATCATCCTCTCTTTACCTTCCTTAGCCTTTGTGTGAAAGTATGCGTGTGTTCGTGCATTGCGTGTTCGTTTGTGTGAGTTGGGAAAGGGTGTGTGAGGTGTATTTGTCCTCCCTCTCTCTCTCTATCTCTCTCTCCTTCTCTCACTCTCCCTCTCTCTCTCTCTTTCTCTCTCTCTCTCTCTCTCTCTCTCTCCCCCTCTCTCTCTCTCGCTCTCAACTAATGTGCCGTGTCTTGATCCCCCTCCAGTCCTCAGAGAGTTCAAAGACCTCCTTCGTAAGCAGGCCACTGTGGAAGCCTTCACCGAGTGGTTGGACATGGTCGTCGAGCAGAAAGTCATCAAAGTAAGCCAAGAAATAAAGAAAGAACGAACGAGCGAAAGAAAGAAACAAACAGACTAGCAAACAACCAAACAAATAAATAAAAGAAAGAAAGAAAGAAAGAATGGGGGTGGGAGGAAATAAATAAATGAAGAAAGCTAAAAAAATATATCTGTTTTTAATAGAAATTTACCTATAGGGCCTAATCTTTCTCACTGGGTTACCTCTGCCTAAGCGAGCGTCTGTAGTGTAGCGGCTGGGCCCTTCGCTGTCGCAAGCAGGAGACCCGAGTTCGATTCCCGAATGGAGGGAGGGGGGAATTTTATTGAATATCACGGTCATTTTTCTAAAATGTTGTATGCCTCTCAGCCCAGGTTGGCCCCGAGGGTCAGGGTCGGAGGCCTGCCTCGTAAATTGTCTAAATTGTTTAGATGGGGGCGTAAAAACACAAACATTTTTTAAAAGCTCTGACAAGACAATTCTGGATAGATTATATAGATGGACACATATATAATATCTACATACTTCGATTAAAACATGTATATTTTGCTCCAACTGAAACTGAAATTTTACTTAATTAAGTATATTGAAATGAGCTGACACAAGTCAGCAAATGTATGTGAAAGGATCAACAATGTATTAACTAGAGTAGGGACAACAAAATGCGGTACCAGAAAGGTAGAGGCGTTATTAAGATATTATAGTATTATTAGTGGTGACAACCTTAATATTATCAAGAGTTTCAGCAACCATGTACACACAGTGTAACAGTAGACATTGACAATAACAACAACAACAACAACAACAACAACAACAACAACAACAACAACAACAACAACAACAGAGACAACAACACCCACAGCAAATACAACACCCAGAACAAAAGCAACATCAGCAATAACGACTACAACATCTAGTTGTGAACTCCCTCCCACCCACAGCCCAGCAAACAGAACGGCAAGTCCTTCAAGAAGAGGGCCCAGGACTACCTACTCAAGTGGTCATTCTTCGGCGCCAGAGTCATGCACAACCTCACTCTCAACAACGCACAGAGCTTTGGTAAGGGGAACCGCTCACTTAACACAGATAGTCTATAGAAGAGAGGGGGAGAAAGAGAGAGAGAGAGAGAGAGA